TCATTCTGTAATCAATACTGAATGAATTAGCTTCTTTATAATACAAATTTTTCTAATCTATAAACATACTATATTTAATTAAATCTCCATTAAGTATTGTTTAATTATGCTCATTAAAGTTTTATAGTTTTCTCCATTTTACAGCTTTGGGAGACTTGTTTTCATCTTACAGGGTTTTATGAATCATGTATACTATAGTATGTGGTTGAATCCGTGAGTGACTGATTGCAAAAGCAACATGAGCCCTGATCCTTAACATCTTTGCTCCTGGTTCCTGATGGGTGAGATGTTGACAGTGACTGTATTTGTAGAGTTAGCTACTAAGTGAAATGTGTTACACCTCTCCCAGTATTGGAAAACAGTAAGCACTTCATAAGGAGAATTATCTATTGGGTTATAAAAATATATAAATAATTTGACTAATTCTTTAAAATTATTTTAATTCGCTGTTGCCATAGTGACAGTAGTTTTGAGTATAATGTATTTAAATTGAATTCACATTTTTTTGCTAAATTTAGATTGCAGGTAGGATCTGTGCCCACTTACTCTAATACTTAACATTCTTCAGCCTTATACTAATAGATGTCTTCATATAAATCCTATGCTTTTCATGTTTTAAAAGACATTATATGCTTTCTTTTTTCATGTTGTTTGTTTCATGTTATTGATCGTTGATAGTATAAGTAAATGTATTGGGTTTTCAAAGTATTATCCTACTGACTTTCCTACATAATTCTCCTATATGTAGATATAAACACACACTTGATATTTTGTCCTTGGGTTATCAAAGCTATTCTGTGCCCCTTCTCTAGGTGTTTATATGTCAGATAGAATTAATAAAGCAAGTCCACTGGGTGCATCAGGCATGGCCTCTGTCTTTTCTTTTTAGAAGCAAGCCATTAGGTTTCTTGCAGTAGATGGAAAGAATGGTGCAGCTATGGGATGCCTTGAATTTCTTTGCATTTTGGTGTAGGAGGGTCTTCTTTCTATGTGTTGCTTTCATTGGTCAAATAAAGAAATTGCCTTGCCTTTTGATAGGGCAGCAGCTTAGATAGGCAGAGTAGACCGAAAAGAATGCTGGGAGAAAGAAAGCAGAGTCAGGCAGATGCCATGGCTCTCCTCTCTGAGACGGATGTAGGTTAGACTCATCCCATTAAGCCACGAGCTCGTGGTGACATACAGATTATTAGATATGTGTTAAAACAAGATGTGAGAGTTAGCCAATAAGAGGTTAGGTATAATGGGCCAAGCAGTGTTTAAATGAATACAGTTTTCATGTAATTATTTTGGGTAAAGCTAGCCAAGAGCCGGGTTGTGGGAAGCAGCCCACCACTCCATTTTACAACAGCATTTAACTTTATTTTCTGTCTTGTGGATGCACAGTCCTGCTTTCAGTGTTAAATGGGAATAGCGGGGAATATTCATGCCCGTCTGCCTTTCCCAAGGCTTTCTTATCCACCTTCAGCTAGATTTGCAGAAGGTTGATAGATCTTGTCAGAACCTGAGGTAGCCTGGCTAAGCAGAGCCTGCCCTAGAGTGAGTCTTAGGCCACCAGTATTACCTCATTGATGTTTTACAGCAAAACATTCTTGTTTTTAAATTCTTAGATCTTTGAAAAGAATAAAACTCCCCCCTTTTCTTAAAAATGGGGCGAGTAGCCTGTTGTCTTCTTGTGACCCTAATGGGAATGTTGTCAAATGATGGCATAATTTTGCTCGGTTATATATTCATGTCATGAATTACATCATGGCAGACTTTAATAATACATTTGTTATTTTCTCCCCATAATGAACTGTATTTGGTTGAGTATGACATTCTTTTGATTTATTGTGCAGTTAAATTTTTTTAACTTTCAAATATTACTGGAGTTTGCATGATTTAAAAAATCTTTCATCATCTGTTGGTCTTGATTCTTCATCGTCTAATGAGGATTTGGTTCAGTTATGAATTTGTTCATAAATAGAGTTTCTCCAATTTACACAAATTACCTCATGGCCCACCAAGACCCCTCTCATATTAAATATTAATTTAGAGAGCCAGTGATGGTCACTTTTTTTTTTATCAATTCAGTGATTTAGTAGGCATAGAGAAGGAAGAGGTTGGCTAATTTCTGTATAAATCTTTTTATTTTGGTGTGTGTGTTGTTGATGACAAGTTCCTCTTGCTTATTTGACCTAGGAATCTTCTATCATTCTTGTTTCTGCCTTTTCCACGACATCTTCAGTCTAGTAGGAATTCCCGTGGCTTAGTTAGATTAGAGACCCTCCTCTACCTGCCTCTCAGTCACACCCCTCTGCAGCTGACAGGCCTCTGCTGTAAAAGTTAGTGATTATGGGTGGGATAGGAACACAATCCCAACTTCCCCTAACCTCTGTATGTGTATAATAAATTTATGGTCTTACCCTGTACCCAGCTTCTTGACGTAAAGGCTGTGACAGATCAAATCACGTGATGGAGAATTTACTGCCATCCTCTGAAAACTGTAAAAGGTGGAAAGTTTGGGAGATTTCACTGCAGGTTCTCTTTCTTCTTCAGGCAGCTCTTCTAACGAAGCTCCTCTCAAGGGGTTTACAGGAATGCTATTCTAGTTCTCTCTCTCCAGGCCCTACCATGTTGTTGGCACAACCACTGTCTTTTTTGTGTGCTTGTGTGTTTTTGGTTTTTACATAGGCTCTGGGCTTTCAGCACAGGTCTTTAAGAGAAGAGCCTTTTTTCCTCATTGCACATCTCCTTAACTGCTCTATGTGCAGTTTTTTTCTAACTGCCATTGGCTGATCTTGAGCTTGTTTTGTGTTTAAAACTATATGTTGTGTACTCTTCCTCCTTCCTCCGTGATTTTGGTTTTCAGCAGCACAGACTTTAATTAACTAGATGCCTGGTCTTCCCCTTGTTTCCATGTGCACTGAATCTAAAGGGTCACTGCAGTTATCTCTTGACTTCTGTAAACTGGGCGGAACCTTTTTCTGAATTGTTGGGGTGGATTTTGCTTTGGTTTTATATATCCTTTGAAATAATACAGCCAGGCTCTAGACAATGTCATCAAATGACTATTTTCAATAAAAATCTTAATTTATTTGTGTATGCTTTGAGCAGGTAAAACATGTAGTTGTACCAAAATCTGAAATCCTTATGATTTCTAAAGCTATGAAGAGGTAGTAATAGTTAAGTGAACCTCCACATACCTGTCATAATACATCAATATTCTGTATTATTTTGGGAAACTTTGGGTATCTACCTGGCCAAAAGTTCATTAAGTAGGTATCCCTCCCAGGACCATGGGATTCTGGTATATATTTGTTCCTTTTTTTCCGCCTCCTCCCAGGTCTTCCCCACCTCTCTACACAATCAACTTTATAGTCTTTCTCTTCATCTCTTCCTTGCCTCAAAAGCCAAAGATCCAAAACAGACAAACTAAAACCAACCAATCTGACAAAACAAACACAATAAATACAGAAAAACTAAACCAAACACAAAATGTAAAAAGTATACAACAAAACATGGAGTCTATTTTGTGTTGACCAATTCTTCCTGGGCATGAGGCCTGCCTTGAAGGTTGGTATACCCAGTGATGCATCATCAGAGAAAACTGATCTCCCCTTTGCCCATATCAATTGCAGGTAATTTCTTGGTTGGGGTGGGAGTCCTTGTCTACTTCCCCATCTCAGTGCCTGGTCCCTGGCTGGCTGGAACCTCTGCTGGTCTTGTGCTGCCGCAGTCTCTGTGAGTTCATGTGTGCACCATAGGTCCTGGTGTGGCCTTGGAGTCATCCGTCACCAGTGGCTCTTACAGTATTTCTGCCTCCTATTTTCCATAGATTCCTGAGCCTTGAAGGGAATGATTTGATGAAGATATCCATTTAGAATTGAGTACCCCCAAAGCCTCTCACTCTCTGAACTTGGTCCAGTTGTAGGTCTCTGTGTTGATTCTCATCTGTTGAAAGAGGAAGTTTCTCTGATGTGGGTTGATTGAGACACTGATTTCTGAGGTTTCCATCTTGTATTCTAAGCTTTTAATTTCCATAAAATCAATTTTGATATTGCCACTTTAATACTGCCATTTTTTTAGATTAGTGATAAAATTACTGTTTCATCATTCCTTCTATAATTAATTATTGAGAGAAACTTTATGGTAATTTGTAGTTTGAATGGGTTCATTAATATTCCCTGATGAATCTTTAAGTAACGGTTGAGAAGAATGAGCTGTATTTGTTGTTTGTGCTATTTTTTTAAGACAGGTTCTTCTATATTCTAAACTGGCCTTGAATTATGGCAATCTTCCTGTCTCAGCCTCCTGGGTACAGGATTACAGGCGCCCACCATGAGCTTGGCTAAGAATATTCTCATATTCATGCTATTATTGCTGCAAGTTTGAAAAGTCTGGATTAAAAATTAAAAATAACTTCTGAATCAGATATGACAACTCTAAATATTTATAAATATATCTCAGAGTTCAGTGGGGTAGCTGTTGCCTATAATTCCACATTTGCAAAGCTGAGGCAGGAGGATTGTTGCATATCTGAGACCATCTTATTTTACCTATCTATCTATCTATCTATCTATCTATCTATCTATCTATCTATCTATCTA